ATATATCGCACACCATCTTCAAAAGTGACACAACTCAAAATAACGGGTTCATCAGAAAATGCGAACAACTGTTTCGTAGCACATGCTAATCAAATGGGCAAGAGAGACTTTACTCTAGGTTTTTTTCAATAAATTGTAACAAAAATTTCATCCAGGTTTTGCTCAAAGATAAATAACCGCTCTGCGCACATCTTTAGCGTATAATTTCCAAAATGCCAAATTTTGAGTTGTGTTNCTGTAATTTGATTTGTAATTTAGTTAGTAACAATAGGCTTTCAAAAGGATATATCGCACACCATCTTCAAAAGTGACACAACTCAAAATAACGGGTTTATCAGAAAATGCGAACAACTGTTTCGTAGCACATGCTAATCAAATGGGCAAGAGAGACTTTACTCTAGGTTTTTTTCAATAAATTGTAACAAAAATTTCATCCAGGTTTTGCTCAAAGATAAATAACCGCTCTGCGCACATCTTTAGCGTATAATTTCCAAAATGCCAAATTTTGAGTTGTGTTACTTTTGAAGATCGTGTGCGATTTGATCATTTTGTGCCTAGTACTGTCGGCGTGACCAAATTGCAACATTCGACAAGAAAGAAAATGCAACGCTGCTCCTAACAGCTGATTATGTATTTACTGTTTTGTAAATTTTCAATCAAGTTTTGTAAAACAGAAAATATAATTAAGTTCTGCGTTTTATGTTATTATTTTAAAAATATTTTCAACACTTCATAATTGTGCCAACGCTATTCCAAAATTATAATGTCCATTAACTCGGGCTACAATGAAAATGAGCGCAATAAGATACCTAGGATCATGACATTCCGGCCTAGCTATGAGGAATTCAAGAATTTTTCTTCCTATGTCGAATACATGGAACGACGTGGCGCTAATTTGGCTGGCTTAGCGAAGGTTATACCACCGCCAGAATGGGTGCCACGCAAATCTGGATACCACATAGATAATATTAATATGACAATACCAGCGCCCATCTGCCAAGTGGTATCAGGTATGCATCATTCTTCATTTCAAATTCTTTGTTTATTGCCGTCAGCTTAGCAATTGTTTATCCATTATAAGGCAAACAGGGTGAATATCAGCAAATAAATGTTCAAAAGCGTTCTATGACGCTGCGGCAGTTCAAAGAAATGGCAGAGTCGGAGCGTTACCAAACTCCGCGACATTTCGACTACGATGATTTAGAACGAAAGTATTGGAAAAATGTGACATACATTGCACCTTTCTATGCAGCAGACGTAAAGGGTTCCCTGAGTGATCCCGATTTGCGTATTTGGAATATCAATTGCCTTGATACCATATTAAACTATGTAAATAAGGATTATGGCATTGAAATCGACGGCGTAAATACAGCTTATTTATATTTTGGTATGTGGAAGAGCTCTTTTGCTTGGCACACAGAAGATATGGACTTGTATTCCATAAACTACCTCCACTTTGGTGCACCGAAAACTTGGTACGCCATTCCACCCGCATACGGTAGACGTTTAGAAACGTTAGCGAACCGCCTTTTTTACGAAAACTATCAAAACTGCAACGCCTTTTTGCGCCATAAGATGACGCTAATTAGTCCACAAGTATTGCGTCAACATAAAATACCATTTAATAAGGTTACCCAGGAAGCCGGCGAAATTATGATAACATTTCCCTTCGGTTACCATGCCGGTTTCAATCACGGTTTTAATGGCGCAGAGTCAACAAATTTTGCGTCGAAACGTTGGATTGAATATGGCAAGCGTTCCAGCATATGTAACTGCCGAAAAGATATGGTTAAAATATCAATGGAAACATTTGTCCAACGCTTCCAGCCCGAACGCTACGAAAACTGGCTCAAAGGTATTGATTACGGTTGTCACCCAGAAGAACCTGGAAAAATTTGCGCTGCCCCACCGCCCACAATCAACAAATATTACTATTCAAAAATGTAAATTTTGTACTTTGAATATTGTTTAGAACCTATTCTAAATTTCTTTTTCAACAGGAGAAAGCCGGAGTCTACCGAGTCAGTAGCATCACAATGTTCGACGCCAAAAACTAAAGACACAATGCAAAAACGTGGTTGTACATCATTAGCCGTGCCTGAAGGTCCTGCCATGAATGCGTGTTTTTCCAAAGTGCCCAAAATCATATTGACTAAAATAGATAGTGTCAGCAGTAAGAATTTAGATTTTAATGCAATAGCGGTAGTACGTCTCAAAAGACTATGGAATAATATTCCATGCAATAAGGAAGGTAAGAATCTGCTAACAAATGGTATAATAAAAAATNGGTCCTGCCATGAATGCGTGTTTTTCCAAAGTGCCCAAAATCATATTGACAAAAATAGATAGTGTCAGCAGTAAGAATTTAGATTTTAATGCAATAGCGGTAGTACGTCTCAAAAGACTGTGGAATAATATTCCATGCAATAAGGAAGGTAAGAATCTGCTAACAAATGGTATAATAAAAAACACGAAAAGAATGCGTTTTCAAACGAAAACCATTAAGCTGGATGATGAAGACTAGTCTTGTGTTGAAGATAAATTTTATTTTTATATATGTATATGTACCAGAATTAATTACTAAATATAAGTTATGCAGGATGATGAGACTGTTACCTCAGATGCATAGTGTATTAAGTATGCCGGCGGTTAAAACAAGCTAAATAGATTTTCAACCCTTCTCCAAATGCCTACATACATACATACATGTGCACATTTTATATGAATAGTTAAATGTTTAGTTCATCCAAGTATTTTCTACTTTTTTACTAATAACGTATTTTCAAATTGTTGTAAATACATATGTATAAAACATTAATATATTTCAGAAGCGATAATATGTTTATAAATCTGTGGCCATAAGCTATAATCGCCTTAGTCGAAAAACCTGAATTCGAGTAAAAATGCATTCAATATTTGCATTGTAATGTTAACCTTATGGGGAAAACAAAATATTTTCATCTATAACTTTTTAAATAGCCTAGGTAACGAGATGGGAGTATCCNAATATATTTCAGAAGCGATAATATGTTTATAAATCTGTGGCCATAAGCTACAATCGCCTTAGTCGAAAAACCTGAATTCAAGTAAAAACGCATTCAATATTTGCATTGTATGTTAACCTTATGGGGAAAATAAAATATTTTCATCTATAACTTTTTAAATAGCCTAGGTAACGAGATGGGAGTATCCCATACACATGGAATAGTAGTTGCAAAATACGATAGCATATATAACTCAATTCTTTCTTAAGTCGACTTAGCCGGTTATTGGTTATGACTACAGAAATATGTTTTATTTTTTGTNTCAATTCTTTCTTAAGTCGACTTAGGCGGTTATTGGTTATGACCACAGAAATATGTTTTATTTTTTGTATTCAGTTGTTTTTTGTCCAAGAAGTTGTTAATGTATTTTTTTGTTTCATTTACGAAGAAAGCGGAAAAAGTAATGTTTTCATACGAGCAGAATATTCACAAAATCCTAAAATGTGGTGACGTAAATCGTGACTTTAAATCGCAATATTATACAAAACTGTTGATTGCCATAAATCTTACCAAGCTAAATTATTACACTTAGCCATATACTTTCATGCAAATTTTTATGCAAATATGCATATTTATCGCTCTGAACTTTCTTTAAACTTAGATATACAATTTTGTTTCAATTTAGATATACNGTGGTGACGTAAATCGTGACTTTAAATCGCAATATTATACAAAACTGTTGATTGCCATAAATCTTACCAAGCTAAATTATTACACTTAGCCATATACTTTCATGCTAATTTTTATGCAAATATGCATATTTATCGCTCTGAACTTTCTTAAAACTTAGATATACAATTTTGTTTCAATTTAGATATAAAATTTACGAGTAATTTGTAAGGTATGTTTGTACTAACATACTGGACAACCGGAAAATAAAGCAAAAATAAAGCTCAGTATTGTTGTAGAACAGCAGTTAGTAAAAACAAATTTGGAGGTTATACTTAAAACACATTAAATATTGTTTATCATTAAATATTCCCATGCTGCCGTAGGTCAGTTTTCACGCTTTTTCAAACGTGACTATTTTATTTGTAGCCCCTTGGAATAATCTATTTGTAAATTCTNTAATTTGTAAGGTATGTTTGTACTAACATACTGGACAACCGGAAAATAAAACAAAAATAAAGCTCAGTATTGTTGTAGAACAGCAGTTAGTAAAAACAAATTTGGAGGTTATACTTAAAACACATTAAATATTGTTTATCATTCAATATTCCCTTGGAATAATCTATTTGTAAATTCCTGTTGAACTTTTTTAATTTTGAAAAGGTTTAGAGTACAGAAGCTTGCTCTAAACTAAGCCGGAAATTGAGGGTAACTGCGAAGCTGACGAATCGCCGAGAAGCGGTACGACTGCCGCCTCCTTCCGGGTAAGGACATTGTAGGTATACCAATGGCCACCTTTAAACTACAGGCTACAGACTACATCATCATGCAAGTAGCAAACGAAGCTGGGAAAACCTCCCTTCTGTTGGATGCTTCGGTAGGCTTGCATAGTTCGTTTACGATTAAAAATTGCACATCTGTACTCTTGATATTACAACAGGANGAGAAGCGGTACGACTGCCGCCTCCTTCCGGGTAAGGACATTGTAGGTATACCAATGGCCACCTTTAAACTACAGGCTACAGACTACATCATCATGCAAGTAGCAAACGAAGCTGGGAAAACCTCCCTTCTGTTGGATGCTTCGGTAGGCTTGCATAGTTCGTTTACGATTAAAAATTGCACATCTGTACACTTGATATTATAACAGGACAAGGTATCCATTCTCTTACGGATTCCTATAGGTCTGTCTAATCGGCGTACATGTTTTGAGATTTAGGAGTAAATGCGACGAAGAGGATAGTGTATAGAAACTCATCTGCTACTGCCCGACAGAAGACGATTACATACGCTTTAAGATCCATATCTACAAGATCTTGCGTAGATAGCGAAAATTAACATTATAGCACAAAGAATGTTAACTACGTCAACAATATAGTTTGACCTCGAGTCAGCGTCGCAACACCGTGGGGGAACGAAGATTACATATGGCAACACAATGGAAATACTCTCAATTAAGGCGGAACTACGCTATTCTAAACTATAATTTATGGAAATATCCAATATGTACAACCCAGGCTAAATGCTGAATTGGAACTTAGTTGCGCAAATAAGTCCTTTCCATTAATTATAGTTTAAAGCTTCCAATATTTGCCTATTGTTGTTGTAACAGCATACAAATTCTTCGAACTCTTTTGGGGAATGTTGCTAAAGTGCCAGTTATAAGTCACAGCTCTACATACTTGCCCCACATAATAAATTTTCATTGAAAATTACTTCTTACTTTATTTGCATTACATATCAGATGAATTCAATGATTAAAAACATATAGTAATCTAGTTTCGAAATAAACTGAATGACCACATGAGCATGAGTTTTTTTTTTTGTTAAGCGTCTAAAATTTAGACTGAATATAATTAGTTTTATCAATAACTATGTATTTCATGTGATCAATTAGTTAACTTATTTGTATTTATTTTTGAATGTAATATGCGTTTCATGAAGTTTGAAATTGGATAAAATGCTAATTTAACAAAAAATTGAAATATGAAATAGTTCTTATCGCCCCTGCACGATTTGTTTTTATGCGCAACCGTGGTGGTTGTTGAGTGAAGTGGACCTCGTTCATTTGAATAAAACATTTATGCCAAATAACTATAGGTATCCTTTTGTCCCTCCATACGCTCCAGATACTCCTTTTCGATTAGAATATCAATGCATTTTTTGATCACCTGCACCTTAGGTTTGAAGCGCGACGCCAATTGGTTGAGTACTTCAGTTATAAGCTGTGTGTGGTTAAGCTTCTTTCGCATCTTCATTATTCGTACAATGGCGGCTTGTATAAGCAGTTTGCGATCCTCTTCAATATGCTTATGAACTGCTTCTTGCTCCACTTTGAGCTCAGTCTTTAGCGGTTGGTTGATGTTAATGCGAAGCTTCTTGTTTTTATAATCCAAGAATAGCTCCATCACAGAGTTGGGATTGAGCGAATTCTCATCGTCAGCGCAAACCAGCAGCTTGGCTTTCATTAAGATCTGTAGCACCTGTGAATCGTTTTGAAATGAAAATAAATAAAATTTTCAAAGAATTATTAATTGCGTCGTTTTTAAGAATACCTGTTTAAGATTTTCTAAGCTGATTTGGGTATTTTCTTGCAACTGCTGCAGAGTGAATTTAGTTTGGTCATTGAATTGTAGAAGCACAGCCATTTGGAATGTGCTCGCCTGCAGTGTGTACCGATTGCGGAAGCAATTGGTCACCAAATCACCTTTGCACAGATTATACAGCCAATTCAGTTTGCGGCCGGAGTGCCGATTTGCATAGAATTCATTAAATTGCTGTACAGAACGCTCCAATTCGGAGGGCAATAAAAATGTGGTGCTCTGGTTAAACGGCCATGACCCCGACGACAATACTTCAATGCTAAAATCTATTTCTTGCGGTATTCTTGCATTTACTAAATGTTGTTTGAAGCTCGCATTCAAATCCTTAGACAAACCAATGTCTTGGAACATGCGTTGCAATTTGATCGTGTATTCATAACCGCAAGTTTGTTTTAATTTGGAAATCATTATCGCCTCGGCATCATCAGAAGCAGATGTGTGATATACGAGGCGCTTGGCAAGCATTTTCGAGTAGAACTTTTGGAAAACATCCTTATCCTCAATGTATTTGAAAACAACCATTACTTGGTTCAGATTATCTTCGAGTTCCTTGTCTTCGGGATTCTTAGAAGATTTCTTCAGCAACAAATCACAGTATTTGGCAAGCAATTCTGGCGATTTGTTGGCACTATTTGCCTGCGTCACTTCGTTCAAGTTGATGAATTTCTCACATGCCTTGTCAAGTGCTGCCACAAAACCGTTGTCGTTGTTAAAGGCTACAACAACAAGACCATGGTATTTCTTATGGACTTCCAATATGGTTTGCACGTACAACTTAGGATCGTTGGCTGCTTCGGCACCAGCTTTCTTTATGGCTTCAGTGCCTTGCTCTAATATATGATCACCAAGTATACGCTTCAGTTCGGTTAAATTTTCGGGATTACGTGCAACTAAGCTGTACATGCGTTTTAGATCATCATTCTTATTGTCATTAAGAAATTTCTGAAACTCGGCGCGGAACCGCTCAAGGTGCTTTTCAATCAATGCCTGTTGGTAGGAATTTTATAAAATATAAAATATTGTATTTACAACTATACAAATACTATTTAGTAATAATTTACATATGTTACACATCATACCTGCTCACAAGTCTTGATAAGGATATTATGTGTGCTCTCATGTAGATATGAAAACTCGTCACGATTCACTCGTTTGCTTTCCTCGTCAAGGCGATCCTCCACATGCTTCAAGTAATCAGACACCGAATAGCTACTCAAATATACTTCGGATTGTTTCTTGTAAAACTCTGCAGTTTTCTTAATAAATTTATTCTCAAAGTGGTCCCTGTAAACAGATAGTTTCTTGGAATTATCAGAATCTGATTCCTCCTCGTTGAAGCCCAGCTCCACATAAGAATTTATGACACTCTTTATGAGGTGGCGGTTTATGGTTTGGGAATTACGTTCCTCTTCAATCGATCGCAGTACAGCGTTTGTAACTGATTCATTCAGCGTTCTGAATAGATTTTCCTTCCACGTGACCAAAGCTAGTCGATAGACATCATAAATACCTTTTTGGCCCTCCTCGCATTCTCGCTTCACCCAGTGTCGATTCAAATAACTGCAAATACCGTTTAAAACTTTGCTTGAGAACTGATATGATTCCCATTGTTTGGTGTAATGTGTCAACAGTATTTCTTCGCCCTCAATATTATCAAACGCCTTCTGTAATCCGGTTAAATAAGTTTTCAGGAACTCTTTGAGACGGTCGTATAACTTCTTGCCAACGAGCTGTGCTCCACCTGCACGAGCCATCGAACGTTGAACAGTATTCACACTTGTGCAATAGTTATAAACGTATGTGTACAAGTGCATATACCGATCGGTCGATAAATTCGACTTTTCTGGCTGAAACACCTGTTTGATACCATCCTCCAGGTCGTTCCAGATTTCATCGAGACTTGTTGGTCTCACTACGGCATTGGGGCGTTGCATTTTCTTGGCTATGGGTGATGTGGCGCAAGAAGCGATGCGTGGAAACGTCGCAGAATGAGGCAATAACGCTGCTTGTGGCTCGCTCGCTTGTCTTTTTCGGGGGTTAGTC